TAGGTAGGCCTACAAATTAGTACCTTACGAATTACTACTCTAAGGTACTAATTTGTTCCTATTAGGGGTAAAAAAAAATAATAATAATAAAAAAGGTACAAAGATGTCCCTTTAGGAGTACTGCTACAGTGTCAAGCTGTTGTACCCCAAACGGTATAATTAATTTTGGCCCCTTTTTTTCTGTGTGGCCTGGATGTGTGTGAGATTTCCCGGCTTGAAATTGCGTCCCAGTCCGGCCCTGTTGTCTGTACATAGAATGATTTAGTAATATTTTTTTTTTACATTTTTTAGAGTTTGGTCTTTTTAAAACACCGTTTTAATGCAGTAAGCCACGTTAAGCGTTTTCCTTATAACGGTTACTATGGGAGGAAAACGCTTAACGCGTAATTAAACGCGTTGTGTTCTTATTCCAGGCTCATCTGCTTGTCTGTAAATAGTATACTTTATTAATAATGTGTTTACTGAGTTTGATCTTTTTAAAACACCGTTTTAATGCATCTGAAATTTTCCAGTCAGACGCCTGAAGGTTTTCTGTTTTAATGCATTAAGCCACGTTAAGCGTTTTTCGCGTTTTAGAATGTCCCGTTGTTCTGACAAATAATTCTACCTATCAGATTATGCTACCAACACTGTATTTATCCTACTGTAAGGGTAGGTTTAGGGTTGGGGTAGGTGTACATGTTAATAAAGCATCACACCTTATTAATATCATGCTGGAAGCAAAATCTGATAGGTAGCACTTTTCGCTACCTATCGAAATTAAAAATCGAATTATGCTACCATCTGTTTTAATGGAAGGTAGCAAAATCTGACAGTGTAGCACAAAATGTCAGAACACCGTCTCAAGCACCCATGAAGCAGCATGGAGACTTCCGTCGTCACATGATAACTGTTACTTTTTTCAGCGTTGGTCAATCACCGCATCAATCAATGAATCAATCGCTTGTGATTACAGATTAATGCATGGCTGAATTCGGAACTGCATACTAGTATATAGTCACACTTTTCCTATTTTTTTATTTTTTTATTATTTTTTTTTTACCATATCATTCTATGAAATAAAGTAGTAGGCGGTTCCGATCAGCATTTGAAAATAATTGGGGCTGATTTCTAAACGACACAACGCCAAAAATCAAAGAATGTTAATGAATTAAGAATACATGGACTGTAAAAGCTGTATGGACCCAAAGCAAAACATATTTTGAATTTACAGTAATACAGTATAAGATTGATGTATGTATCCAGTAGATGGCGGTATAACCTAGAAATATTATTGCATTTGAGCGTAATCAGCCTCCTGCTGCGTTTACAGGCAGCCAAGGTGAGTTCAAGCTGTGAGTTTAAAGGTAAGATAATAGAGTGTAAGTAATGCGTGATTACAGGCTTTCCCGCTGACTGATTCAACACACACTTTAAAACCAGATCTGTGCAAGCAAACCTGTTCATGACAGAGCCCAGAGCAGTTTATCAAACATAAAATACATGCAAAACCGTGGAGAATGAATTTCATGCATCAGAGAGGCTGAAATTGAAAAGTGAAATTGATAGAAGTGAACAGAGTGCGCAGCGAGTTTTACAAAGCGGTGGCGAGGGAACGTTCACCTGCAGCAGGTGAAGATGATGAGAGTTTCTCCATGCTGCGGGAACGGAACACGCTGGGTCGGGAATCATTAAAACCAGCAGAACCGAATTCAACCACAGAGATGGGAAATAGCCTATATAGGAACAGGTTCGAGTGTCTTAATCTTTCAGTCATAATGAGTTCAGTAAAACGCGTTTTCAAAGAATTCAAGACATTGACACTCACAAAAAATTAATATTATTATTAATATTACTCACAAATAATTAATATTACTAACATGTACCATGGTATTTTTAAAGGACCCTATATAGGCCTACCTATTATATGTAGTCAGCCGATCATTATTGGAAAACAAACCAATAATGACCAGCTGACTGTCCTTTTTACCACCCACTTGCCCATTAGATAGATGGACAGAACGATAGATAGATAGATAGATAGATAGATAGATGTAGAATGATATCTATCTATACACACACACACACACATTGTGGCTGTGACCTATATATACACACACACACAAACACACACGTTGCTGTGACCTTTGTCATGGTAAATTTATTTCAGTATGTTTTTGCTTTCTATAAATATAGAACACACACACAAACACAGAGAGAGAGAGAGAGAGAGCGAGAGAGAGAGAGAGAGAGAGAGAGAGCTGAGTTAGCTGGGTCTGGATGATATCTGCCATTGCCAGAATATTTCCTGAGGTTAGTGCACTTAAAAGGCAACAATGCAAATACAACTTCACACACTTTCAATGCCAGGAAGTGAAATCACACCACAAACACACACAGACACATATGCTGTAAAAGTCAGAGGCGTGATGTGTTTGCGTCCCTGCGGGGATGGACATAAAACACACACACACACACACACACACACACATACTGGATGGACTGTGTCTGCTTCGGCTCAGGGCTCCACAGGGAGATCTGTGTACCATCTGAATCTGAGGAAATCACATTACTCCAGAGTCATCCAGTGTGTGTGTGTGTGTGTTTTCAATGCAGCACTTATGGCCTGAAGTCACACAAGCAAATACATTCTACATAAGAATGGAAATTGCTTAGTGAATGTATGTACAGTATGTGTACAGTACATGGTCACATGTCTCTTTAGATGCCGAAGACTTTGCCTGCAGGTTTACAGCAAAACACAGCGATTGTGTGTGTATGTACACGTGCAACGAAACAGCTTTAGGTTTAAAGAGAATGTTTAGATTTTCAGATTTGCACATGCATATGTTTGCATGAATTTCCACAGGAAAGAAGAATCACAAGTGAGATCTCCTTCATCTCATCAATGAAGAGCATCTGAAGTCTCCTGATGTTTCTCCTGAGAAAAAGACCCCGGTAATCCCTCCTGTAGGGTTTCAAAGGAGATTTTAGCATCTCAAACTCGATCAGATTTGCCTGTTGCAGTCAGGTCAGAGATCACACTATGAACTCAAACATTTCTCATCAAATGATCTGAGCTGCTCTCCACATTCATTTTATAGCTCTATACTCTCACTGCATGACAAATATTGACTCATTTGTGTCTGTTTTTCAAAGGAATTATAGGAGAAACGTGAAGCTGATGCTTCAGTGAATCTTAAAGGGTTAGTTCACCCAAAAATTAAAACTCTGTATTACTCACCCTCATGTCGTTCCAAACCCGCAAGACCTTCGTTCATCTTCGAAACACAAATTAAGATATTTTTTATTAAATCTGAGAGCTCTCAGACCCTCCATAGACAGCAACACAACTGATATGTTCCCAGGTCCAGAAACGTAGCAAGACATCGGTAAAATAGTCCATGTGACATCAGGGGTTCAACCCTAATTTTACGAAGCTACGAGAATAAGTGGAAGCAAGCGCATGCATCATGATACTCTCTCCACAATGGCGGTGCACCGCTGCAGACGGGATGAGGAGGAGAAGAATTGTCGAATAAAGCCGTTACTTTTGTTTTCTTTGCTCACAAAAAGTATTCTCGTAGCTTCGTAAAATTACTGTTGAACCACTGATGTCACATGGACTGTTTTTTACAGATGTCTTGCTATGTTTCTGGTCCTGGGAACATTTCAGTTGTGTTGCTGCCTATGGAGGGTCTGAGAGTTCTCGGATTTCATCAGAAATATCTTAATTAGTGTTACGAAGATGAACAAAGGTCTTACGGGTTTGGAACGACATGAGGGTGAGTAATTAATGACAGAATTTTAATTTTTGGGTGAACTATCCCTTTAAGAGCTCCATTATGTCTCTTCAGTTCTAAAAGGGCAACACATGGGGCATCTGATTTTAAGAAGGTATTAGTATACATTTAAAAAATGACAGATTAATAAAGGCTTTAGAAGTATTTTTCTTTGCTAGTTCATGTTAACTAATTTAATAAGAAAATGGAACTTTATTGTAAATTGTTACAATTTGATGCCTTTGGTTTCTTTTTTCCAAAGTTTTTTTAACCCAGGGTGTGTGTGTGTGTGTGTGTGTGTACTGTATTTTGTGTTTTCTTTTAGTTCTGTTTGGCAATTGGCAGTAAAATCAGATGGTAAATCAAAGCAGTAAAGCTATCACACTATAACACACTACAACACACACACACACACACACACACACATACACAAGACCACTTTCAAGAACACACTGAATGTGTGATCGCTCCCCATAGGTCTTTGCTCACACATAAAACACACAGTCTGCTTTTGTAAACAACACCATTACCTCTATTTCTCCCTCATGACACTCACTGTGAGTGTCATGGCTCAGAAACACATACATAAATAGTCACAGTTTTTTTCACCAAACAGCCAATATAACTACACTGTAAATATGAATGTAAATGACACGCATGAGTTCATCAGATGTCCTGCAGGATCTCTAGACACCTCAAATATCCATATTGAGACTCAAAGAACTTATAAATCAATAGTCTCAAGGCCTTTCTTTATGATGGGCTTCTTACTGGAGGAACCACTGATGGTCTTTGGAGTTCTTGCAGAAAGTAATAGTTCATCAGGTTGTCTGATCTTTATTAAAGGTGCTTATAGAGGTTCTGCAGAAGGATCTATCTGTGCAATGATCTGAGGAACAAATAGTGCCACTATAATCTTTTCATTTTAACACTGAAAATGTTTAGAATCAGATGTTTCTGTACTGTTATTGCCATACTCTTAATATTACTAAACGAATATTTGATTTTAAAGAACATACTAAAACATCTGGTGCAAGATTTACTTAGAAACTGTTTACAAACGGAAATTGCTAGTAAATTTCACTAATAATTACAAATAAGGCAAGCAAAGCAGTGAATTAAACATGACATTTTTAAATAGAAAGACTGAAATAGTATTTTCTTGTCTTTTACACTGTAGTTCACCCATCATTTCACCCATATTTGAGTTATGTGTGAATTATGTACACATTTTCATACCTTTAATGAGAGTTCCCGTCACCAGTTTGCTCACAGACAGAGCAAACTTCACTAACCCATGTTTGCAGCGCCTGGCACAGCCGGACATCCTCACAATTTCACTTGGTGCGAGCTGCTAAGTCCAAACCAGTTCAACCAATATTCAGCTCAACAACAGATCGGACAGTCAAGGAACAGAGTAAAATGGGACCATCAGCAAGGAGAACCAAAATCCAGGACCTTAGAGAATCAACTGCAAGTGAACAAAAGTTACATCCACAAACTCAACTGAAAGGAAGCTACAGATGAGACAAGTGTTTGATTGCTTTCTACAGGGTGAAATCCTGTTCTTTCTCCAGAGAGCTCAGTTTCCGCTCAGATAAAGGATGCACAGAAATCAATGAAGGAGCCAGTCAATGAAACACCGTGAAAATACTCCATAAAAGTTCAACTTTGGAAAAAAAAAAAACAGGAACTTTGTGTCCTCGCTTCTCCAAAGAAAAAGTGCAAGAAGGACAGGAAAGAAGAGAATGATTAATTAAAGAATGTCAGAGTCCCTCTGATGAAGAGTGATGATCAGCTGCAAACTGACGCACAGCCTGATTTCATCCGCTTTTATTCCCACCCCCTCTCTCTCTCTCTCTCTGTGCTGCAGAGCACCGTTTCACTTCCAGCACTGCTGTGTGTGGACGGTTTCCTCCGAGGCAAGACGGCTCTGTATTACTGTATGTGTTTTCTCTACCGTATCGCCTCCCTCTCTCTTACATGCTCTGCCCCTCTGCTCTTCTCTACACTCTGCCCTTCTAAACCAAGGTATTGCATGGATGAAGAATATTACTGCAGTTACACCACTAAAATGATACATATTGTATACTGCACTGTAAAAATAAATAAATAAACAAACACAGACCTGTCGATGGACTCTGTTAGTAGCCTATGCAAATCAGATCAGATTTACAGCAGGAATGTCAAAGCATAAGTCTTATCTGTACCAAAACTGTATGAATGAGTGAGTGATGATTAGGAATAAAAGAAAATGCCTGTGACAGTGCAACATATCTGTTGTTCAAATTACTGAATACAATTTTAAGTCATCCCTCAAAATCAGTAAAATGACAGTTACTAAAAAGGCTTGTTTTGTTTGTTTTATAGAGAGCTTGGTTAATCAGGCCAATAAAAAACTCTTCCTTTTTATTATAGAAATGTGTAATTTTATTACAAATATATAAAACTGATTCGAAATCAGTTAAAAACCATCACCATTTAGCGGGAAACCATTGTTTTGAAATGGTTAAAATGTAACAAAGCCTCGTTTGCGAAAACCACATGATTTTAGCTGTTTGATACGTGCTCCAAATCACCTGTTCAAAACAACTGATTAGAAAAGGTTTCGAAGCTTCATGAAGCAGCGTTTCGAAAGCACCAATAACTAGTCACCACTTTCTGTCACGTCAAAAACAAAACATAAATAATATTCTGATCTGTGAAGCTGTTTTTCTAAATTCCTGAGTACGGTGGACCAGTAGTGCACAACACAATGCATAGGACAAATTTGGTTGTGCTGTGCTAATTTCGTTGTGTTGTGACTTGTTTCCATTGTGTTGTGCTAATTTCACTGTGTTGCGACTTGTTTCTGTTGTCTTGTGCTAATGTCATTGTGTTGTGGCTTGTTTCCACCGTGATGTGCTAATTTTGTTGTGTTGTGGCTTGTTTCCATTGTGTTGTGCTAATGTCATTGTGTTGTGGCTTGTTTCCA